TTGACAAAGTGATAATGAATCATAATATGATATTATATACGGGGTGTTCCGTTTGAAAAATCAAAGAAGCCGCTACTTTATAGTAGAAGCGACAACGCCGCTTCGTCTAAAATATTTTAGGCGTGTAGGTCATATTGATTTATGCATACTGTGAAATTTTCAAGTTGATCCGTTGAATAGTTTGCCAGAAACGGCTAATTAACGCTCATCATGGAAAGCCCTGTATTGTATAATCGCATTTATCCAACAACTCAACATATCATTTCTGAATCCCAATGTGGTTTCATGAATTCAAGATCTACAATCAGTAATCTATCCATTTTTAGTCAATACTTATCATTAAGCAGAAGAGGATAGGTTGATGTGGTGTATACTGATATCTCCAAATCCTTTGACAAAGTAAACCATGAAATACTCCTGAAGGAAATGGCTTGTTTGGGTTTCAATAATATTTTTCTGAACCTTTCGAAATCATTCTTGAATAATAGAGAATAGTATGTCACATACTCACCAAACTATATTGCAATCAGTCAAGTCCCCCAAGGTTCCAACTTGGGGCCATTGTTCGCAGGTATATGCGAATAAACTAAAAGCCAAAGCGGTTCTCAAAGCCAACATAACCCATGCCATCCTGAAGTCATAATTCTTCGATATTTCCAGAAAGTTGAAGTTGCACATCCACCATTCGGTGATGCAGCTGTTCCAGAAATGAAATATAGCTACCGCCATTGATTTTTCCACCACACGAATTCACGCTTATCAACCAATTCCATGTTCCATTCCCGAATGAAACAGAACAGAACCGATGCTCAATATCGAATTGTTTCCTACTTCGTTGTGACGACCATAACCCGTGGTAAAAATGACACTTGACTGTTCCCGATGCCGGGTAATTTTATCGGTTGTGAATTGATTGTTTGACGCTTTCCCTTGGCGTTCGTGTCGAGATTGCTTTCAAAAATACGAGTTTCACTCCAAATTGAAATCCGTTCGGTCCTGATTGAATTACTCCTCTGTTTCGCTTTCGCATTTATATCGGACAGGTCGGGAGTTTTCTGTCGATTTGTTTGGTCATCAAAGTCAAGTTCGGATTCAGTTTGGGTCGTGGAACGGTTGAAGAAGTGATATTTGAGATTTTCTGGTGATTACTGTTTGTATTGCTCCAGTTTCACAAATGTTGTTCCAGTATGATGCACAAACTCAATACTATACTAATGTCCTCGGAGAATTTCAGTAAAGAATTGATTCTAATGAATCAAAGTGCAAACCGAACGCAGTTTATCACATCCTTGATGAAAAAATTTGTGCCAAGACAGACATATACTGGAAAAATATCAGATGAAATCAAAAGACTACTGAATAACCGGAATATTGACATAGCATATGAGACTGGTAACTCCTTGGGAAGGCATGTGAAGAACAACAAGTCATACATAGACAAAAATAACGGATCAGGTGTCTATAAACTAACATGCGGATCATGCCCAAAAATGTATGTAGAAAGGAATTCAAGAATTTTTAAAACAGGAATCTTCATATGTAAAAAAGTTTTGAACTGAAGAATACCAATTTGACCTATGTGCCACCTTCTGGAGAACAATCACGATTTCAATATCAACTACGACATACTCTAAACAGAAAATAAATAACATTGTTACGTATTATTTTCTTTCCTTCTTACTTATTAAATGATTAGTTCATATGTGGGGTATTTTAGATATAAACGAGACAGGGTTATTTACTGACAGTTAGCTTTCAGACAGCGAGAGGGGGGTGAGGTGAGTTATACAAATGATTTATGTTCCAAGGGCNGTGCTATTACTTGCCGCGGAGGGAGTTCTTCACTGCTGTTACCAGTTGTTTGACCCAGAGGTGAGAATACGTCTCTCAGGCATGCAGATGTTGCAGGATGCTTCTATCTACGAGCTGCACATCCTCTCCATAGTCCACGCACTGTCTTTTTTTAAGATGGACCTTTGTACATTTGTCTATCCCGAATCTCATACCAATACCATGCATCTACTCTTTCACCACCTTCAAGAACTGATGGAGATCATTTCCTCCAGAGGCATGAAGTTTGAGATCAATCCTATGAAACAAATGGGTGACGTTGTGCCTGGGTTTTCCGGGGGTGCCACAGTTATATCCCCGAGTATTTCTGAGCGCAACAGATGGTGGCAATATTGAAATGCAGAAGAGAAGGAGACTGAGGGAATTGCCCTGGAATACACCTCTTCTGAAAGTGACCCATTATGTTTGGACTCTAGCCTGAGCAAATGTTAGGCTGACCAGATTATCATCGATATTAGTACTTGAATTGTGATAACTTCCTCATAGTGAAAGTGGATTATTTTAAGAAGTGAAAGACGAAGTTTGGTGAATGAATCGGCAATACCAAGCTTCCACTAACAATTTGAAATCATAGACAATATACACCTGAAACTAATAAAAATAATACTCGAGATTTTCAGTCTTATCATGAGCAGATATGTCACCCCACCGCAACAACCTTATATCACCGCCTCGTTGTGCCTCAAGTTGACAACCTCCTGCTCCGAAATGTTGTTGAACCTCTGTATGATAGCCTCGGCTCTGAGATAGTTGTTGTGCATCTCGCTGGAGGCATTGCTGCAGGTGATGGGGACATCCCTCCTCCTGCTGGAGTACTTCCACCATATTATCCTGGATGTGACCTCGCAGCAGTTCTGCAGGGTCTTTCGGAACGCCACCCTGAACTCCCGGTTGAAGTAGGCGTAGATGAGAGGGTTGAGGGCGGAGTTGAAGTAGCCCACCCAGAAGACGAGGGTGACCACCCAGGGCGGGCTGGGGCAGATTCTGGAGCCGCAGAGGGATGATATGACGTACCTGTCGACAAATGAAGATACATTATAATTAATTTTTTTTTGGGAATAGAGTACAGAATGGGGAATGTAAGTCAATTTGGGTTATTACAGCAAATGCAAGTTTGAACTAAATAAAGTTGAGTTTAATTCATGAGTTTTTCAAATTCACTTCGGAAAGTATTCAAATCGATGTTTCAAATGTTGGATTTTAATTTTTGAAGGGATTTGTTTCTTATTCACATATTGGCAACAGCGCCTAGAATGCTACATCGAAGTTCAGGTTACCTAGATATCCTACTGTAAAAAAGGAAAATTATCTGTATTAATCAACGATTGGGGCAAAATATAAATTATAGTTCAATACCACCTCTACAAGCTACATGAACAACAGTTGTTTTGTTATTTATTCATATAGAGGAAGATAGGTTAGGTGCACAAAATGTCATATGTTACAGAATGTCTCAGAACTCGGAACATAATTGAACAGAACAGCACGCCTCTGAAATATGTCATCTTTGTTTGTCTCACACAGGTAACAGATTCATTGTCCTTTATTAGCTATAACCGATGTTGCCAAATGGTGAAATAGAAACGAATCCCTTTAAATGTTGAATGCATTATTTCATTCCTCTTTTTCAAGT